AACTTATAGGGGGGTCAGACATTTGATTTTCGAAAAGTCGAAAAATAAGAACCACCACGCGAAGAGGTGTGCAAACGGGTCGATTTTTCTCCAATGCCGTTATTTCCGGAGGCCGGCGACAGCTCGCGAATAATTTTTTTTTCAAAATTTTTTTTTCCTGTTCATTTTGCACCAAAAGGCACCACTTGCACATGTGTATCCATTAAATTTCGAAAAAGTCAAAAATAAGGGCCACCCTAACCACCAGCATGGAAGGGCAAATTTCAAAAGATCCATAATAATGTTTGATTGTTTGTCGCACGGTATCTTCAGATACACAAAAATCGTGAAATATACCTCCATTTTGACCGGTCTTTCGCTATCAAAATTTAATAGACACCCTGTAATGACAGTGGAGGTTGAAAACTTTGCCGAAAGTAAGTTCATTCCATCTTCATGCAATAAAGAATTCTGCTTCGTTCCTATGTTATGCATTCCTTGTTGTGCGGTGCCCGCAATCGTATCGGAAACTTCAAATGTAGCTGAATTTGGTCAATTTTTTTTACCGAATTATTTTTGCAGACACCCTGTACTGATAGCGGAGGTCCGTAACTATGTAAGAAGCTAGTGTTGAAAGAAAGAAATGGATAAATTTAGGTATTTTTGAAGTTTTCGCCTCACTTTAGAGCGCCTAGCAAAAACAATAAAAAATGTAAGGGTCTTTGAAACATTGTCGTTCCTTTCTAATGAACACCGTATATTTGCATGGCACTTGTAAGAGTCGCTGATGTCATAACAAGGTGCCAAAAAAATTTTACACACGAAAAATTGGCCGAATTCAGGTATATTTGACGTTTCCGACACGATTGCGGGCACCGCACAACGAGAAATGCATAACATAGGAACAAAGCAGACTTTTTTATTGCATGAAGATGGAATGAACTTGCTTTCAGCTAAGTTTTCGACCTCCACTGTCATTACAGGGTGTCTATTAAATTTTGATAACGAAAGACCAGTCAAAATGGAGGTATTTTCCACGATTTTTGTGTGTCTCAAGACACCGTGCGACAAACGATCAAACATTTATGGATCTTTTGAAATTTGCCCTTCCATGCTGGTGGTATAGACATGCTTCTTTCCAATTTTCGAACTTCCAGTGTTATTACAGGGTGTCTAATAAATTTCACCATTGAAGAAACGGCCGAATTGAGGTATTTTTTACGTTTTCGAAGTGATTTGCGTGCACCGCACAACAAGGAAGTTAAGACATAGGAATCAAGTAGATTTTTGTATTCCTTGCGAAGGGTATGAACTTACTTTGCACAAATTCTCGGACCTCCACCGCCACTACAAAGTGTTCAAAAGAATTCTCCAAAAACGGCCAATTTGAGGTATTTTTGACGTTTTCGCTGCCATTTCGGGTATCGGAGGACGAGGAATATAAGACGTAGGAATCAAGTAAATTTTTTTATTCCATACAGACAGTATAAACTTGTTTCCACAAAATTTCGGACCTTCAGTGTCATTACAGGGTGTCCAATAAATTTTCGAACGCGAAAAAACGGTCAAAATTGAGCTATTTTTGACGGGTTTTCCACCATTGTGAGCATAGCTTGGCAGAAAACAAAAGACTTAGGAGTTTTCTGACATTTGTCCTTCCATACTGATGGTATGGACTTGCTTTCTACAAATTTTCGGATTTTTACTACCATTATAGGTTGCTCAAAAATTTCATTATACGTTAAAAAACGGCGAAAATTCGATTTTTAGAGCTGCCGAGCGGAGAGTTTCGTCATGACCAAGCGAAGTGTGAGTGATCTAGGAGAAAAACAAAAATGTTCCCTTAACTTGCAAGGTATGTGCTAGGTTTGTACCAATTTTTGGACATCTAGCGTCAAATCCGTATTGCTGGCAAAAATATCAAAAATATACGACGAAAATGCCCAAAAAACCGGGAAAATCTCGATGTTCAGGCTCTGTGCGCGCCGGGTTAAACATTTTTACTTTCTCGCTCCCANGTCTACGCCGGCGCGAAGCGCCGGCTCGAGCGAGAAAGTCCCGTGCGGTCTCCGCACCAATCCGCTAAGCGGATGGGGGGGCGAAGCCCCCCAAATGCCGGCGCGAAGCGCCGGTACGCGGCGCGAAGCGCCGCGCATAAATTGGCCGGAGGCCAATTTTTTTTTCTCAAAATCCTCTTGGCTACCGTGTTATTTAATCACATAGAACCATTTAGGACCGTGCAACAAAATCCTCTTGGCTACCGTGTTTTTTTATCACATAGTACCATTTAGGACCGTGCAACATTTGGTTTTGATGATTTAAAAAAATAAGTCCCAGCCTAATGTGCGTATGTTGTTCTTGCGCCCCCCCCCCTTCTAAAAAAAAAACGAAATTGAAAGGGTCAAATTCCATCACCTAAAATTTTGGCTTTTTTCTTTTTTAACTTTGCCCGAAATTTAGGGGCATAAGAGCTTTATGTTGAACTACTTTTGAACTTACGAAGATAATGTTGAGGTAAAGTTAGGGAAAATAAGACTTTTGAACAGACGTATTTGAGGGTCCGAAACCTCCCTTAAAATGAGTGTGAAGTGATTCCTAAGATTTTTACTTACAAGTGTTTATAATTTGGTAATTGTTCCCTTTTTTTCTTACGATAATTTGAACCGGAGTCATGATTTCTTGATAATATTTCAAAGGCCATTCACCAATCATAACTCTAGAACGGGAGCTAGCCAGCAAAAGTCTATGTGAAGCGATTTTTTGCAACTCAATGATTTTTAAGTACCTACCCGTGTGCAACAAGGATCAGGCGGCCTGATAGTCCAAAGCCGGGGGAGAGTCAAATTACGTAACAAAAAAGGCGGGAATATCGATATAGGTAAGGGCCTTTTTGGGCCCTCCTAGAATCTGTAAATTTATGGGAGTTTCCCAAGTTGACTCAATGCAGTTTACGGAAATCATTATTTGGTACATAGGCTACGTGTTAAACGGTTGCCTGAACATACGTCTGCAGGCGCATTTTAGCGAAAAATGCGTGATTTTCTATCACTCCGAGGCGCTTTTGACACCGAGCTACGACTAACTAAAACGAGATTTTGATATGTTATCAAGGAGACTTTAGGACACATTTTAATCCTGGTTTGGTTTTAGTTACATTATGTGCCCATAGTAAAAAAAAAAAAAAAAAATTTCAAAAGTCGAATTTTAAGGGACATCCGCAAAAATCTTAGGAAATAACGTCGTTAGGGGTTTTTTTTGGCCACAATTGAAGAAAATCTCCTAGTAAGAGCTTAACAGCGCTTAATAACTGCCCTCGATAGTAGACGTAGCGTGCATGCAGTTCGAGAGACGTATTTCCTTAAGATTTTTGCGTGTCCCTTATAAGTCAACTTTTAAGAAGGTTTCTTTAAATTATAAGCACATCATCTGACTAAAACTAAACTGCGGTTAAAATGTGCCCTAAAGCCTTCTTGATAACATATCAAAAACTCCTTTTGGTTAGACGATGTGCTCGGTGTTAAAAAAGCCTCGGGGTGATGGAAAAACACTCATTTTTCGCCAAAATGCGCTTGCAAACGTTTGTTCAGGGAACCGTTTAACTCGTATCCAGTGGCCTATGGACTGGATCCAGATTATTTCCGTCAACTACATTGAGTCAACTTGGAAAATCCGCATAAATTTCCAGATTCTAGGGGGGAGGGTAGGGTGCGGCTTATTACCGTCACGTCAGAAAATCGACGAGGTCCGGGTCACAATCGATGCTATCTATGAAAATAATAAGCTGTATTAAATTTGAGCCAATTTGAAGCTTTTTTAGCTGATGCTCAAAGGAAGCAAAACCAAGGGGCAAAATTACATTGGTTTAAATGGGCGGGAAAACGCCTGATCTGCGAAAATGCGTTTTTTGGATCTAAAATTTTCTTAAATTTTTTTTTTTTCTTATATCCTGACTAATACTGACAATTTTTGTTTTCGCCATTATAAATGTGCATTTACCAATAAAATAAATTATTATTATTATTATTATTACTTAAATGAAGGAGACCTTACCAGCTCTTAGAGAGGCATCTAGGAGCCCATTCGAAACGAGAAAATCACACTTTCGACCCATGGGTGAGGGTAGGGGGGATCATTCGATTGCAAGATAAAATATATACACAAATTTCGTTCCAGGCTCGAGAAATAGTATGGGTGGCAACATTGTAACGGACCAAGTATAGTTCTCTAGGGATAAAATAACTATTATACATTATTTTTCATCCAGTTGTGAGATACATTTGCCTCTTTAACTTCGGAACTTATTTTGAGTTCGATCAGAAAGTCTCAAAGGTGATCTTTTGGCTGCGGGCGCGGCACCTCAAAACCGGCTACAGCGTGACCCCCCAATCCCCACTCGTGGGTCAAAAGTGTGATTTTCTCGTTTCGAATGGGCTCTTAGATGTTTCTCTAAGAGCTGGTCAGGTTTCCTTCATTTAAGAACTTGCACAGCCTCCCGACAGTGCTTCGGAGAACATCTAGGACTCTTTTTTCGTACTTTGTAACGATTCCAAGTTTTCATCACTTCTTAATAAATCTCAATGCGATAGTCAAGTCAAAAGTTGTTTCTAAATCAGTTCTGCTCTCCCACTTTTACTTATGCTATTACCTCAACCTCGGTCTCAACCAGCTGTCAAACGTGACTAACTGTTTGGGACCTTGGAAAACGGAATTAGCTGATGCCAAACAACCTACGTACAACTTCGTTTGAAATACTAACTTGATGACTTGATGTTTAGGTCTTGGTGTCCAACATTTCTACTCAGCGCTAACGAGTCTTCTGAAGTTAATAGGACTGTGTTATGTTTGCAGCATGTTGCATATGTAACAGCAAACTCGAGCAGTATGAGTTGAGTGTACTTTAACAATGCGCCTCAATAGAGAAACATACCTTCTATTAATTGGGTGCTTCACCAATTTACCGAATAAATAAACCTAAAATTAAAAGGATTCAGTTCTAATGCAAGGGTTTGACAGCAGCTTACCTTAACTCATACAGAGTATCTCCGCCAAAAAATGCAGCGATGAAAACGCCATCATTCTTTAAACAGTCAATTATTTGACAAAAAGTTCCTGGTAAATTATTTACCCAACTTAGAGATAAACTACTGACTACCAAGTCAACAGAATTTGATGCAAAAGGAAGGTTCTCTTCATCAACTAGTACTCTTGTTACTTTGACAGCTGTTTCAGGTGTAGCAGCTTGACTGAGAAGCGTTGGACTAGACTCGCACAGAAAAACTTCCTCGACAGCTTCGGCATCCATGTGTTTGGACACATGACCTCGGCCACAACCAAGATCGATCACTGTCTTGAATTTCCTGTTGATGTCAAATATGCGATCACAAAGTCTGTACCCTACTTCATCCTTCAAGTAATCATAGATATTGATGTTTTCATCCTGAGCAGCTCTCTCCTTCTGATAAAATTTGGTTGTTCGATCAAAGATTTTCATGGGTGAATCATCTGACAGAGATGTGTTGAAATTCGAACGTTTCAACGGTCCAATAAACCTACTTGTAACACTATGAAAACATTTGGAAAACATTAGTGCACAGTACATTTGCGGTTAGAAAGAGGAGACACTATTTCCCGGAACGATACATACTATTGAACTCTTATCTTATCACTCAAAAACGTTAAACCAGGGACCAGTCAGGACTGTCAGGACCAATACTATAGGACCCCGGACTCCCGTAAGAGCAAGAGCCAATGTAAAAATTCGTAAGCAGGTACTAGTGCTGCTATCTCGCGTAGGACCCTCGCAACTCACTGCTGTTATCAGTTGTTGGACTTCACTAAAACCCGTAGGATCACGTATATCTGCAAAAAATCGGATTCTTTACCCTAACCAAAAACTGCGGCGGCCCGTCCGTCGTCGGAAGAGATCGAAAAACGCCAAAAATATACTTATTTTTCAAGAATTCACCCGCCTCATGTGTTATTTTTCAATTATCGGCTTAACCTCACTTTTGGAGCGGGCAATGGATGAGTCGAGGTTCGGGGGGAAGGATCCTCCGAGTTTACTGACGTCCTCCGCGAGAATGCGCTGCAATCACCCGCTCACAACAGAACGGCGTCCTATAGAACTCGTCCCTGGCTAAACCTAGAGGGAAAAAAAAACCGGCGCTCCGCTTCGCTCCGCGCCGGTTTTTGGGGGGGCTTCGCCCCCCCAAGCCCCCCCTGCAGGCGCGCTTCGCGCGCGTCTTTTCACGGTCGTCTGCACATCTAGTTTTCCTTCTTTTTAAGTGTCCCGCGCATCCACCGCAGGAAGGAAGTGTATTTCCCGAAGTGGGATTTTTGCAGTCAAAAAATCGTACGTCTGTAAGTCATCGTGTAATCGATAGTTTTTTTCCAGATATTTCCTTTCCTTGGGCCGCTGTACCAGGAACAGTTCTTCCAAAAACTTTCATCACCTGACCCACTGTGCGACGCGCAGTTTGTCCAAAATCTTCCTTTCCCTGAACCACTGAGCGACGAAAAGCTTGTTCAAAAACTTCTTCCCCCTGACCCACTGTGCGACGAAAATTTTGTCCAGAAACTTCCTCCCCCTGACCCACTGTGCGACGAAAATTTTGTCCAAAAACTTCTTCCCCCTGACCCACTGTGCGACGATCAGCTTGTCCAAAAATTTTCTCCCCCGACCCACTGTGCGGCCCTGCTCCGGCCGCACAGTGGGACGAAATGGGTAAAACCTCGGACATGGGGTGTCCTCATGTTTTGCATAAAGATGTGATGGAATGTGTTCCTAAGGATCCATATTATATGAATCTAGTGTTGGTTTGATGATTTTTTCAAATGCTTTTGCTCCCTGGACTCCTGAAGTTGACATTATCTGTAACGGCCGATTTTGCTCTATTTTCTAAGGTCGGTTTCCATACCTGCCTCTTCGAGTGACGATAATTGACACAAATATGAATGCTTGAATCTTATTCTAGAGTGTATGAAGAACATATTTCACTATTAAAAAGTTAAATTTACTCAATTGTATACGTTGTAATGTCTGATCAAAGATGACCCTTCCGAAAATAAGGAAATAAATGTTTGAATAGACTTTTAAAAATTTCGCCGCATTTCGCCGTCCAATCATGCATAAGGCGTGTTCCAGTGATCCTCCAGGATGAGGAACCCGTCGTATTTGGCTGCCGCCAGCTGCCGCTTTGAGAGTTACATCGATTTTTGTCCGAAAAAGTGAGGACGGAATTCGCTGTTTCTCTACATCTTACTTGATTATCTTGGCGTCTTAATACACTCAGTCGAATTTTCATTTTAAAACTTGATGTACTTACATAATTTTCATCGTAGAATTCAATTTTGACCTTACTTTTGCCCATTTTTTGGCCAAAATTCATCATTTGATAGGTTCGCGAACTCGCGATCGAGGCGG